AAAGCATTCATTTGTTTTTCCAGCTCACTGACTCTGTGGTGACAGTGGGGCTTCTCCTTTTGAGCCCTCATATGGGTTTGCTGTTCAGCCACATGCTGCAGGTGTCTGTCTGTCTCCTGCAGTTTATTAAGTAATGCTGAAACCGAGTTCACTTTGGCTTCCAAATCGTTTTGGACCTGCAAGAGAGGACAAAAAAAAAAAAAAAAGAAAAAGGAAGGAGTGAAATACACACTTTACTGGAGAAGTGGTGCAATCCAGAATCCTGGATTTGCTTCCCAAAAGACACAATTAAAATCCTTGTGAGCCCTAATGTTTGGTGGTTCAGTAATATTAGGAATTTTTAAAAGGTAAATCAAATGGTCTCTGTCTTCTGCCCATTCAGCCAAATCCAAAGGAGTTCCCTCTGGTGTGCTGGTCAGCGAGTGTGAGATTACAGGCACACAGAAAACAGGGAGCAGACATATTCAGGCTCTGGGGAGCTACTACAAACAATCTGAAGCTTGTTTGGAACATCTACTATTTTTAGTGGACGAAGACCTAACACTGCCACAAGCCACTTACCTTGAGGAGTGGGGCTGTGCTGGCAATGGCAGCAGCAGTGGCTGCTGCAATGGTTGTTGCAGAGTCCACTTCCCTGGCTGCTGACCCGGGCTCATGTCCAACACCTTCCCTTCTTTCTGTGGAGGCATTTCCCAGGAGCTGTACCTTCACCTCCTTAAGTACAGGAGTATTCTGAGCTCTATAAAAGCAAGTGCCTGTCAATAGCATTGTTTTCTCCATATCCCCTCCAAGCAAATGATTTCCCACACGTAGCACTAACATCACTGTATAAGCTTTTCTCCTTGAAGCTTTCAGCACACATGAAACAAATTTACTCTCATCTTTCAGGGTGACACGAGAAGTGTCTCAGGTTTATGTCACAGTCCCTAATATAAAAGGCATTTTCCTGTAACCACAACAAAGAATGTGTTTGCAGTTTGTGTTTTGTGAAGTTCAATATTCCAGGTTGGATGGGGCCTGGAGCAACCTGGTCTAGTGGAAAGTGTTGGAAGGGGGTTGGAACAAGATGGTCTTTAAGGTCCCTTCCAACCCAAACCGCTCTGTGATTTTGTGATTCCAGTAGCCAAGTCCAACTAAATTTTTGATCCTCAGAATTTCCAGCCTACAGGTAAACAGCACGTGTCCTTATCTGTCTTTAAAAATGTAACATGGTTTTGGCACAAGGTGAATTATCTTGCCTGAGTCTTCTATCACAAAATCATTAACTCCAGTAGTCGAAAGGTATTCTCAAAAATACACAAAATAAACAGTGAATGATACTCCAGTGGATGATAAAATAAACTGAAAACACCTTCACAGACAGAAAAAGAATAGTAACAGAGAACAGTAAATAATACTTTTTTCCTTGTCAGCTAAACATTTTGGCAAAAACTGAAGGGGTTATAATTGGATACCTGTAAAGAAACAGGACAGCTGAGTCACTACCAACAGCACATACTTACTTCTGCTTTAACACTGCTCTCAGAGCCTCCTTCTGCCCAGTAGCATATTGAGAAATAAAAACATCATCTGTGGGGAAGGATATAAACAAACTCTGTGGAGCTAACTGACACAAAATGTCTATTTTACAGGTAGAAACAAAGTATAATTTCAATACATATAGTTTTGCTGTGAAGAATCTGCTGCCTACACAAACCACACCATCTACTGCAGTAAGCAATTGTTTCCCTTCACTGAGTTAACAGACTTAAGTAATGATGAGAGTAAGGGAAGGCTTCATTTAACACAACTTTATATAATACTGAATGTTGGTACCAATGAAATCTAACAATTGGAAGCAAAGTCTAAAGGGTAACTTGAGCTCAGACAACTCAGTCCCTAAAATGCTGCAAATTCTAACTTGAAAAAAATTAATAAAAAAAAAAAAAAAGGACTGTGATGTATTTCCCTACAGTCATCACAAATTACAACAAATTTTCTCAACAGCTGCAAATCATGCTAAAAGGACTGCAGGCTCTCCCTCAGCAGAGGAAACAACCCCAGATGTGGCAGGTTTGGAGTTTCTCTGCTGCTGCTGCCACACAGCTTGTACCCAAGTGCTGATAAGCTGCTGCCTGTGAGAATAGAAGAGGAAACAAAAGTATTGATTTTTGGCCTTAAACAGGGTATTGATTTGTGTTTCTTTTCTCTACACAGCCCCAGATATCCAAGAAACCTGCAAAAGTGTATTTTCTTCAAAAAGTCTTCCCTTCCATAAATCTGACTGGAGCTGGCAGATTCAGAAGTTAAAGACATTGACATTGTGATTTCTTAAGGTTCTTAACTACTAAAAATATACTTTTAGGGTATAGGCTGCCTGTAGAAAAATATGCCTTTGTAGTACAATTATTCACAACAGGAAAATGCATCCAAGCAAGCCCTTCCCCTCTATTCAGAGACATGAACAGTTTGATCAGCAAAAAGAATCTCAACATTCTGGTGAACTTGTAGCAGTCCCACTCAGTTAATCACAAGAGCTACTGCAATGCCAGCAAGAATGAGGCAAATTTTGCAAAATTTAAGACTGTAAATTACAATGATCATCTTTTTATCAAAGAAAAATTTTAATATTTTCCCTCAAGAGCTTCCATAATGAAGAAAAATAAATACCTAAGATAAAATTAAAGCTCCTTTTTCCTCAAATTGATCAGTTTTCTCACAAAAAAGGGGCTATATCAGCAGATTGATGTCTTACCTTCAGGTTCTCTGCTGTCTTCCAGTAGCAGTGAAGGATCTTCCTGCACTGCAGCTTCTCTAGGAAAATCCTTCAGAAGAAGAGTAGAAAAGGCAACATCACAGCCTTTGCTTTCAGTGGCCAAAATTTTAGAAGTAGATGGAATTGTACAAATTATTACACAAATGGAATCATACCCACACACTAATACAAGGTCTTGGCACAAAACCTGTTACAATCTCCACCAGAGAATCATCTGGACTTGGCAGTCAAGAACTCACATGGCATTTTAGGGACTAAAACCTTAGAAGCACAATTCAGATTAAAGCTATATATTTTAAGTGCTGATTAAGTGTATTCTCTTCATTTATGGTCAAAGAAGTAGTAGTGAAACTATACTTGTGTAAGTTTAGCCAAAGGGCTAATCTCAAACAATTCAGGATTGCCCCCACACAGAGAATTAAGTAAGTATTAAAGAATTCCATATAAACTTATGTCCATTTCTTTCCCTATGATATGAAGAGAAAAAAAAAAATCATGGTTTTAACAAATATTGTGTCATGTGTGCCCACCTTTTCAAAGGAAGAATTACACCAGAATTTAAAAACAAGCCTTGGTATTAATTATGCAACAGGCAGTACAGCAAATAAAACCCCTCCAGACACCTCAGCATTAATATCACGTTGGCAGGAAAAAGCAACTGCAAAGTTGTTGTGCAAAGTCTGAGCCAAACATTTGTGATGTTTTCAGAGGAGCTACAGCTTTTTGAGGAAAATGCTGTTTTGTTCTCTTAGTTCAGGATTGCAGGAAGCAACAGCAACTTTTCTTACCATTTGGGATAAAAACACGGGCTCTGCATCTTCCACTGGAAGCAGAAGTTCTGGATATCCCGTAGTGCTGAGGACTCCTAAAAACAAAAGCAGTTTTACTGTGGTCATAGTCAGCTGTTGTGCATTTTCACTACAGCTTGGCTGACCCAAATCTCCACATCCCCCTTCTCTTTGAATCCCTAAACATCACGACTTTCAAAACAGAAGCAAGGGTGGACTTGGAGCTGAAGTTTATAAACATCGATGAGTTCTGAGAGCCTGGATGAGAGACTTGCTTTACAGCACGTGAAAAAGTCTCTGAAAAACAGATTATTAAACATCCTTTAAACTGGGAATGGGCAGGGATGTTTATTCCCTGTTAAACATCCCTGTTTATTCCCAGTTTAAAGGATGTTTAATAATCTGTCCCCATGGACAGGGACACCTTCCCCTAGACCAGGTTGCTCCAAGCCCCATCCAACCTGGCCTTGAACACTCACAGGGATAGGCCATCCAGAACTTCTCTGGACAACCTGTGCCAGTGTTTTACCACCCTGCACAGCTCGGCTTCTACGTGCAAAACAGTCTGGGAAAACAAGGAGTGCCGACATGTGCGGGAGGAGAATACAAAGATGCCTTAATCATGTAAGTCCTATATGGCTGCAAACACTTCTCAGGGGTTCCAGCACCAGCCTGAGCTGCCCCTGACTGTATCTTAAGGTAAATGGAGGTAAATGATGGTAAGTGATGGCAGGTGACGCACCTGGAGTGGCGCTGCGGGGGGTGCGGGGGGTCCCTGCCCTGCCCGGGGCCGGGGGGGCTCCGTGTGCGGCCGAACCCGCCCCGGGGACCGGGCACGGACAGAGCCCCTCACGGAGCTTCTGCACCGCCAGCCTCACCGCCCGCCCGGGGGGCTTCTCCCCGCGGGGCCCCGTGGAGCGGATCAGCACATCGCCCGCCGTGAGGCTGACCAGGGAATCCCGGCTGGAGCTGGAGCCGCTCTGCGCTTCCATGGAAGTGGGTGGGTGGGTGGGTGGTGGCGGGGGGGGAAAATCTCACACAGTGGCGGCCTGAGGGCTCCGGGGCGCGGCTCCCTCGCAGGTCGCGGGCGCGGCCGCCGTGCCTGGCGGGCAGAGAGCCCCGTTCCAGCCCCGCTCCAGCCCCGCTCCCGCCGCTCCGCCTCAGCCGCTCCCGCCGGCGGCGCGCGCTGCCATGGCCACCGGCGTTCCTTCCCCTAAGAGCGTCCGGCGGGAAACGCCGCGCCCGGCGGGAGAAGGGGGAGCGGGGAACCGGCCGATTCGTCAGTTCTTGTGGCGAATCTGCGGGGCCTGTGCGGGGCCGCGGCCCTTCGCGTGCGCCCCTCCCCGCCCCGCGGCGAATCTGCGGGGCCGCGGCGCGCGTGGGGCCGGTGAGTGCGCGGGGGGGACGGGACGGGACGGACCGGGAGCGTTCCTGAGGGACCGGGAGAACCCGGGAGGGACAGGGAGTGTTCCTCAGGGACAGGGAGGTGTCCTGAGGGACCGGGATTGTTCCTGAGGGACCGGGAGTGCCCGTGAGGGCCTGTGAGTGTTTCTGAGGGTCCAGAAGGGCTCCTGAGGGACAGGGAGCGCCCTTGAGGGGCCGGGAGCGCTCCTGAGGTGCCGGGAGAGCCCGTAAGGGACCCAGAGTGTTCCTGTGCGGCCGGGAGGGCTCCTGAAGGGCCGGGAGCATTCCCGAGGGACCAGGAGAGCCCGTGAGGGATGGGGAGAGCTCGGGAGGGCTCCTGAAGGCCCGGGAGAGCCCGTGAGGGAGCGAGAGTGTTCCTCAGGGACGGGGAAGGCTTCTGAGGGACAGAGAGTGCCCGTGAGGGTCCGGAGTGTTCCTGAGGGACCGGGAGGGCTCCTGAAGGCCCAGAAGGGTTCCTGAGGGACAGGAGCGCCCTTGAGGGACCGGGAGCTGTCCTGAGGGACGGGAGCATTCCCGAGGGACCGGGAGAGCCCGTAAGGGGCCCAGAGTGTTCCTGAGGGACCGGGAGGGCTCCCGAGGGCCCGGGTGTGTTCCCGAGGGCCGCGGAGCGCTGGTGAGAGGCCGGGAGCGTTCCCTGAAGGACCGGAGCGCTCCCTGAGGGGCCGGAAAGGGAAAGGGCGTCCCTGCCCGGGGGTTTTCCCGGCGGGGAGAAGGGCGCTCCGTGCCCGGGGTTGTGCCGGGGTTTGGCTGAGCAGGGGGAACCCAAGGTGCCCTTGGAAGGGGGAGCTGGAGGATGGAGCGAAAGGAAAAAAAAAAATAATCGATGCGAAGTTTTTTTATCTCCAGCTTTTGATTTTGTAGGGTCAGAAGTGTCAGCCAGGTCTGATCTAACTTAAATAGGAGACACTTATGGGAAAGGGTGTGTTTCCTCCCAGGACAGGCCCTCGCACGTGTTCGGCGTGTTCAGAGAGGCTCTCGGGGCTCTGTTTTAGCACTGACTGTGGTAACTCACCTTTGGTGTCAGATTTCTACAATTCATCTCTTTTTCTTCAGGGTCCAACCCAAATCCAAGAGACTGTGGGTTAGAATAACCTGTGCTCCAGGTACAGCTGCTTATCCAGCCTCCTTCTGACCAACCCCTTTCTCACCTCACCATGTGATTCTTGATTCTTTAAAGGCCCTTGGCCTCTTAAAATCAATTACTTTGAGTTTTTAAAAATCTAATACCAATCAGGTTTTAGCCTGATGATCCCCAGCAATAAAGAGAACTTTATAGGCTGTGGGGGCTTTATCTTGATATAGTTCTTTGCATCTGTATTTTTATTCTTTATCTTGACACAAGTCTTTGACTCAGTGTTTTTATTCCTCTTTATTTTGGCACATTTCTTTGACTTGATGTTTTTGTTCTTCCTTGTCCTTTTCAGAAACACTCACGTGGTGTTCACTGTGTACAACTGGAAGCAAAGGCTTTAAAAGATATTTATCTTTATCTTGATAAAGCTTTATCTTGATAAAGTAGGTGTTTACCTACATGTAATTCAGATGTTAATCAGGATAACAAGCATGATGGATTTATGGTGTCTCTCCACCACCTCTATCCCCAGGAAAATGCAGCTCCTCACAAAAATGTGGAAAAAATCCACCCCAAACACAGGGCTTGTTTGGCTTCCATGGGACAGGATTCTCCTGACTCCAGATTAGGTCATGGACAGGAATGGTGGTTACTTGGGTGGGAAAAGAAACTTCCTCCAAGCGCTTCACCTGTAATAACTCCAGGCTGGTGATGGAGGGAGGCTTTTTGGTCACCCAGCAGTACAGTAATCACAATTAAAAGTTGTGTTCCAATTATTAGCACTTAGGAGTTAAGATCATGATCCCCCTGCCTCCAGAGGTCTGGAGGCACAGCTGGGGAAGCTGCATTCCCACAGATCAGAAGTTTTAGAAGAGTTCTGACATCTGTAGTTCTGGCTCCCGTTCCTCCTGCCGTGCTCAGGATCCTTCACCTAATCACTGGTTTTAGTTACAAACCAGCTTTTCCTTAAGAAGTGGACTGTGTTTATGTTTCCATGGCAATGGGAGTGGCAGCCACAGCAGAGGCAACTATTAGAAGCATTTTCCAGATTCTAAAACTGAGCTGGGAGCTGGGGTGGATCTTGCACAGAGAACAGGTTTGAATGGGCTAAAGGCTGTATTTGCTCAAAAAGGATGGAAAACCCATAATACCTAAGAGAAACCAAAACCTCAGGTTATCCTTAACTGTTTATTTTACTCAGAGGGATTTGTCTTAATGTCTCTTCAGAACATCGAAACATATCTGGAATGGCTCCAGGGCCTTTCCAGAAGGGAGATTTCTCGGGCTTGCTCCTCTCCCGGTGACCCAGCACACCTGGACCACGTGGCCCTTGCAGCAGAGGTTTATTCAGAGATCTGCTTCCTTCTGTGTGACTTGTTTAAAAGTGCAGTCCCGAATTTCCAAATCACATTTAGCCCAGAGGAAAGTTATCCAGGCTCTCTAGGATTAAAGCTGAGCACTCTGGAGTGGTGTGAGCAGCTCTGTAGGGAGCTCTGAGGGGGGTTAGTCGAGATGCCAAGCCCTGGAATGGGGCTCTCTCATCCCTGGTTTTTAAGCATTTTTTCAGAGGTTGGAAGGGAAAGGGAGAAACAGCAGGAAAGCTTGAAATGATACCTTTACCAGACATTAGAGCAAACCAGATATGCACATTCCTGAGAATGCCCAGGTAGCACATTTTTAGGTGTTCAGGCCTGTGATTTACAGCTAAAGGTGCAGCAGAGCTGTGGGATTTCACTGCTGGGCTGTGGAACGTGTGAAACACCTGCACTAGAACAAGGGCTGCAGACACTGACAATCAGATGGTGCCTTTGTTCTGATGTGAATCAGAGTCTTTCTCAGGTGTCAGAGCTTAGTGAAGCTGCAGTTTCAATCTGCAGTTTTGAATCTTGCCAAACTAGTCCAGAAAAACAGACCAGGTTTGCTATAAACAGAAGTTACGAAGCAACACTGAGTGTGAGAAAATGGCACTGACTGTTGAAGCTTTGAGCTTCCTGTGCTTGGCAGAGGCAAAAGTCTTTCCTGTGGTTTCTGTCTCTTTAATTATCTACCTACACTGACCTGGGAGAATTGTCACTGTCCTTATTTTCTCACAGGCTGAGAAATGAGAGTGGAGTTGCCATCCCTTTTCACCAGTTGTTGTCCCCCATAATACTCATGTCCTAAAAGAAGTTAGAGGTTTACGATGGAGAAGGAAGACTGGAGAGGGACTATGGACAAGGGCCTGGAGTGACAGGACAAGAGGGAATGACTTCACACTGACAGGGGGCAGGGATTGGATACTAGAAAGAAATTCTTGGCTGTGAGTGTGGTGAGGCCCTGGCACAGGTTACCCAGAGAAGTTGCTCCATTCATGGAAGTGTTCAAGGCCAGGTTGGATGGGGCTTGGAGCAACCTGGGATAGTGGAAGGTGTCCCTGCCCATGGCAGGGGGCTGGAACTGGATGATGTTTAAGGTCCCTTCCAACCCCAAGCAGTCTGTGATTCAGTGACAACCTGAATAACATCTTGTTTCTTCTTAACCACCATATTCTGTAGATTCTCCTTCAGAATAACCTGTGTGCCCATGAGGAATTCTTGGTTGTGGGGATGTCCATCTTAAATCCAAGAATCATACGAGCACTTGACCTCCAGTCCCTGAATTGGCCTCCTGTGCAGGGACACAATGTGATGTTAAGAGGCAGATGTCATAATCCCTGTGCTGCTGGGAAGGGGTGTAGGGAGAGTTCATCCTTGTGAGAGCTCCCTGGTGCTATTTTTAGTTGCTTAGTTTTCTTTCTGTTGTAGAAATAATTGTTACTGTCTCTTTGTTCTTGTTCAGGCAGCTTGTGTACCCCTTCCCTTCCCCCTGCTGAGAGACTGGAATAGTTAAAGCTTTCTAAAACATGAATGTCTTGCCCAAAATTTGGCAAAGCATAACAGAAGATTAATTGTGAGGAGCCTTTGCTAAAGGGCTAAGTGAAGTTTTTTTCCACAAAATGATTACTCTTCAGTGCTCATTTTTCTTCCACAAATTGATATGAATTAGACTGAAGGAGCTTCTTCTCATCAACATGTGATATTAGTTTGCACTGTCATCTGTGATAGGCCTTAGATAATATGGAAATTAAGGGAAAAGGAAGACTAGGTTTCAGTATTCCTCCAGGAAACGTGCAGGGATGCTTTCAAGCCTTAACTTGTTTAGTGTGCTGGATTAGGACTGTGAGTCTTCCTCGAGGATGCTTGCTTAAATTCTTGGATCGATGTTTCTTTGTCTGTTTCTTTTCCTTTAAGGCCATTCTCGTTCTTCTGTGTTTTCTCGCATTTCATTCACTCCAGTCAAGGACCAGAACGTTTCCTGTAGTTTTAAGTGCTTGGTGCAGCTACACAGAAACCAGGCCCTGCTGCTCTGAGTCAGCCTGGCTTGTGCTGCATTTATTCAGAGGGGCTGCCAGTTTATATTTGCCTTTCTTCCTTACTTTTCACAGATGGCATCTAAAGTCACTGAAACTCTTAAGGCCAGAAAATGTTATGGCTTTGCTTCTCCCCCAGCTCCTGCCCTAGTTTTACTTTGTGAGTTTGACAGCACTTAAAAAACATAAATAAGGTATTTTATAAGTTACTTCAGCTGTTTGAAATGCCTTAAAGTGTTTCAAGGACAGCAATTAACAGGTGGATCTGGGAAGGTTTTGTACCTGGAATTATTGTGGATGTTCTTTTCACTGAAGACATTTCAAATAGGTAACTCCCCTTTGAGTGAATGACTGGGAAGTTTGCCAGCAAAGTCCCATTTAAACACACTTCAAGGATGTATAAAATTCCATTCTGATGTAAATGTTGCCGTTCATATTTATGCTTTTTGTGTGAAACTTGTCTTTTATCTTCAGAACAGGTGACTGAGCCACAGGTGGTGGAATATGGCTGGACAAATATCGGAGTCTGACCAGATCAAGCAGGTGAGATATTGCATTTGTAAGTGGTGGCTTTGAAGACCTTTTACTACTTTGTCACATTGAGTGACAGGTGTAGGGCATGGGGAGGAAATGTAAGTTATCATCTGGGTTAAGACTAGTTCTGTAGCAACCAAGATTTAAACATTTGACTGTTGACAAGCACAGTTAATATCTGATTCAAGTAGGGGCAGCATTTCATGCTGAAACCTTCTGACCAAATTTTTGTAGTGACTTATCCTTTGGTATCAGTGTCACCAGCTGGGCCAGGCAGGTGTGTGTAAGAAAAATTAACACAGAATTTGTTTTTAATACTCATTGTCCGGTTTTTATTTACAGTTCAAGGAATTTCTTGGCACATACAATAAACTTACAGAAAACTGCTTCCTGGATTGCATAAAGGATTTCACCAGCAGAGATGTGAAACCAGAAGAGGTAGGTAATTGCTTCTGATGACCCTTTCGTAGAATTGCTGTTTAACATTCCAATTTCAGAAGCAACTTGGAGAGTTTTGATCTTTCCAGTGGCTAAAAACCCAGGCAGGAGGTTCTGCAGTGGAGAATGGGGGCCCGGCATGTTGCTTTCAAGTGAGTGCCCCATCCCTAGAAGCGTCCAAGGCCAGGCTGGACAGGGCTTGGAGCAACCTGGGCTAGTGGAAGGTGCCTCTGCCCATGGCAGGGGGTGGAACGAGCTGGTCTTTAAGGTCCCTTTCCACCCAACCCATTCCAGCAGTAGGTTGTTGGTACTACACACACACAGTGAACCTGCCCCATCTCTGTTGAGTACTGGCTGCTCATTGCAGTTGTGTCATTCCCTGAGCTGTCAGCGGAGGTTCTTGTGTCCCACCTTCTGAGGGATGGTGACTCCATGGACATGGAAGGTGCCTGCCTCCAGCACATCTCAATCTTTGAACAATCCCGCTGAAATAGTTGTTTACTTACCCACATTCCTGCATTGCAGTGTGTCCTGGGAACACGGGCCTGCACAGCTCTGGCTGTTAAATCCACTGCTCTGCACTGCAGGGAGCTCCATCACACAGTCACCTGCAGAAAACATTAAGCTCTCGATGAGATTAGTTGCATGTTTTTGCTTCTGCTCCTGTTGAGAGGCTGTTTCAGAGTTAATAATTTTGTTGGTTAAAAGTCTAATAACCTTTGTTTGACTCCACTGGAAGGGAAAAAAAATCCTGAAGTTATAAACCAACCTTTATTTTTAAGCATTTTCTGCCTCCTCGGAGTTCAACTCCTCAGTGCAGGCAGAAATTATGTCTCCTTTCAGCTCGGGTTCTGCTGCTCTGGACAAAGCTTTCTTACTTCCAAAGACAGATTTCTTCTTTCCCTGATCTTCTCTGCATCTGCTTTAGTGGAATTCTATTACAGGTCATAATTATTCTGAATTAAACATTATTTAGGTCCAAAACATATTCTTAGGTTCTCTGAGCAACCTGGTCTAGTGGAAGGTGTCCCTGCCCATGGCAGGGGGTTGGAATGAGATGAGCTTTAAGGTCCCTTCCAACCCAAACCACCTGGTGATTCTGATCTGCCTTTTTTTGCTTCTGTGAGTTGCAGAGGGTCCATGTCTGGTAGAACAGGAGCCATCTGTTAACAGGGGAACTAGGAAGAAACTTTCTTGTGGGAAGTTTTGTCCATAATTAGCCATTATGGGATTTCTTGCAGAGCACGTGTCTCTGGCCCCTGCTGGGAACAGGACACTGGTCTAGATGGACCACTGCTCTGATCTGCTCTGGAAATTCCCATGTTCCTCTTTAAAGTCGTAGTTTTTTATTAAATACTTGAGATTAATACCTCCAGGCATCTCCTTTGGGATTCTGTACTTGAATAAACAGCTCCTGACCTCTTTCCCTGCAGCAAGTCTCCACTGCAAGTCTAGACTTCCCAGGCATGGTGTCACAAATACCACTCCCTCTGGGAGCACAGGCTTGGGGTAGTTCCAGAATGTGTTTTTTCCTTGTGAGACTTCACTCCTGCTCAGCAGGTTTTGCTGCAGCTGATGCCAGGCCAAGGTGTAGCTGTGTGGGGTTTGGTCTTGTTCATTTTCATCCCTTCTGCTTTTCACATCTCTTTGTACTGAGCAGAACCAAAGCAGTTTTCTGGTTTTCTAAGTCATCAAGGAAAGTGTTTGGCTTTCCTTTCTGTCCTCCTGCAGTGACAGCAAGGTTTTGAACCCTGGCACAGAATTGGTAGAACTGGTGGTCAGAAAGAATCTCACAACTCTTTATCTACACTTAAAGAAAGGAAAAAAAACCCCACTTTAAATTTTAAACATTCTATGGATGGAGTAGTCCTGGTATTTACTTCCCTGTCCAGCAGACTGATGTGCTCTGGTTGTTTTGCTGAAGGGTAACCAAGCAGGTACGAGAAAATTAATAGAGCTAAGTGGGAACAAGGTTAAAAAAAGGTTAAGCTGAGCTTGCAGAGACTGGACCATAAAACAGTATGTGTTTGTAAACAGAATTAAAACAAAATATATTAATTTAATAGATTTATGATTTATTGCAAAATACAGAGTTTTAATTTCACGAGAGGAGCCCAAGGATGAAATGGTAATATATCCTAGATCCTAAATGTTTTCCATGGAGGCTTTCATATGAGAATGAATACTAAAAGGTGTTTCAGGCATCCCTCAAAAACTAAACCTCACAATTAAAGTTCCCATTTTCTACTGCCCTCATCTTGAGGTTTAACAGTATGAGATGTGCTCACCTCACTGTTTGTCCCTGTATGTGATGATACTTTGGGTCCTGGCTGGGGAAGTGTTTTAAGTATTGTTTGAAGCCTTCTGTCTCCCTCTTCCTCCAGATGACCTGCTCAGACAACTGCCTGCAGAAGTATTTAAAGATGACACAGAGGATCTCCATGAGATTCCAGGAGTACCACATCCAGCAGAACGAGGCTCTGGCAGCCAAGGCAGGACTGCTCAGCCAACCTCGTTAGAGGAGAGCCCTGTGCTCAGACTTACCAAGCTGTGCCAGAACACAGTTGGGAATTCCTGCTGTTGGGATGTGTGTCCAGCAGCTTGGAACAGAGTTCCAGGTACTGCTCAGACAGTGGGATCCATGAAGGGTTAAACAGGAAGTCAGTCATGGTGGCCTGGCCATGGAGTCTGTCTCCGAGGTCCTTTTCACTCCACAGTGATGTGGATACAACCCTTCCCCGGGCCCACAGACTGGTGTGTTTGAATTCCAAGGGTGGTGGGAGGGTTAAACTGCCTTTTGCTGGGACTGGTTGAGATGAATCAATGGAATATGGGAAATACATTTTTTTTATTTAATTCAAATAAAATCAGTGGGAGCTGGACACAGGTTTGTATGTTCTTTCCAAAGATGCATTTTTGGGACACTGGGAGCAGTTGTGTTTGCTGGGGGCTCTTTGCTCAGCTCCTACAGAGTCATGTTCCTTTAGTGCTGCTTCAAGGTGCTGACAGATCCCAGAGTGGGCTCAGGCAGGGTTGCTCTGCCAGCTTTCCCCCAGGGTATCTTTGCCTCCTGCTTCACCCTGTCATTCCCAGGGACACAGGGTGTCATTAACATCACTCGTGCCCCAGGCAATGCCTGTGCACTCCTTGTTTCCCTCAGGGAACCCCACAGGGTCCTCCAAACCCAGTCCTGGCCTGAGGCACTCCAAGCACTGAGCCTGCTGGCAGCTTTCCCGCTGCTGGATGAGTCCAGGGAAGTTTGGGTTAGGAGACACCTCAGTCCTTTGAAAGGACCCTGATAGCTGCAATCCCTCCCTCAGGCCATTGGTGCAGGGGAATGGTGGTGAACAGGACATTGTGCTTCAGTTCTAACTCACAAAACACAGGGACAGAGGGAACTGAACATCAGGAGCACCAGTTCTGAGATTCCAGGTGAGGAAGACTGAACCAAAGCTGTTCCACACCAGCTGCCTGGTTCTGTTTGTAGAGAGGCAACACAAGGAACAGAAGTGGCAGGAACTGTCCACAGGCTTTTGTGTTGTTCCCTTCTCCAGCTTATTTCCAGCAGCAGTTTGAATGAATACTTTCCTCCCTGTTTATTCCTTCTCAAACTCTCAGCTGTCCAGGCTGTGGATTACAGGCCCCTGATGGCGGCACAGTGCACCTGCCCCTTCCACCAGACACTGGTGTTTAAAACTGCCCCAGCTCTCCATGGAATTCTGTCCCTGTGCCTTCCAAAGGTGGAAGAAACCAGTATGATCCCACAGTCTCATACACCTGTGTTTTGTCCTCGCTGTAGCACAGCTTTTCCTTGTTATCTTGGAGATGGCCAAGAGCTCACTCTGAAATAGTGAAGCCTAAAAACCAGCCCAAATAAGGCAGCAAGTCTCCAGTATCCTGGATTTTAATGGAATAACGGGCTAACAATGTCCAGATTGTTTGCTGCAATCAGGCCACAAATGTTATGGCCATTAGAATCAACACATCCATAGTAAAGGGTGAAGGCTTTCCTTAAAGCTGGCATTTGTTAAACATTTGAAAGTAATCCATGATGGAGAATTTCCATTTGATCTTTATGTGCAAAAAGGTGCTCAGAAAAGTGACTAAAGAGGTTAAGTGATGGAATTGGAGGATTTTCATGTCTCCTGGGCAAAGTGCCCTGAAGCTGAATTTAGGGGGGGTTAAAAAAAAATTATGGTTTTCCCTCATTTCAGTATTTGGGGGTAGGAAAATAGTTAAATATTTATTAATACAGCTTTCCTGTAGAAAAGGTTAAGCAAGTGTTAAAGGGACTGAGTTCATAAATTACTCACTTTCAGGTCTGCATAACTAGTTTTGTCCAAGCTCTGTTTCACTCCAAAAGTGTTGTAATCTTTCAAATCCAAGTGACTGGTGGAATACAGATGATACAAATACATTTCAGCTTGGAAACAAAGTGCATCCACGTAACTAAAGCATCCATGTGGTGCAGGAAGCAACAGGGAAAACTTCCTTAACAGGTTAACTTGCTTTGCTGAGGTTTAACTTCCCTTTGCTTCCATGACAAGTTGGCACATCCTGATGGCCACCTCAAACTGTGTCATTGGAAAAGATCTCCCAGTAACCATGTTTTCTCTCCCAGTGGTACATTCCAACCTCTATGACATTGCTTAATCTGGAACAGTCTCCATCCCTCTCCACTGACTGGTTTGGGTTGGAAGGGACCTTAAAGCTCATCTCATTCCAACCCCCTGCCACGGGCAGGGACACCTTCCACTAGACCAGGTTGCTCCAAGCCCCATCCAACCCGGCCTGGAAAAATTCCAGGGATGCTTTTCTGAAATAGCCTCAAGTTTACATGGCATAATGAAGTGCACAGCCAAAATCAGAATAAAAATGGGATTATGGGTTAGTGCCTGGATCCTGAGGGAAAGGCAGCAGCACTTCAGCTGAGGTGTGTGGGGAGAAGGTGAATCAGCACTCCTGAGGTGCAGGAATGGAACCAATTCTGAAGGAAGGAGGAGCAAAGGGTGAGAAACAGTGTTGCTGAGGAAGGAATACTGAGAAAGCTGTGGAAAAAGTGAGCCAGAGGGGAGGTGGGAGGGGAGGGAACCGGAGGGCAGCCTGCCAAAAACTGGCTGGATGAAACTGAGCTGGTAAACAGACACTCACTGGGAGCTGTTCACTGCAGCAGAGACAGAACACGGATCCTTCCTTCCCAAAGGAGTGTCTGCACCCAGAGGCTGGAAACACACAATTCCTGTCAGCCCACAGGGAGCAGAACCATTCCAGCAGCGAGGGTCAAACCAGAGCCTTGTTCCAGAGTGCCCCGGACATCAGCAGTGCCGCCAGAGCCATCGGATCAATCAGCTGGAAGATTATAATAGAGGCTCCTTGGATTCTGTCCAGGATAAAAGCAAAGCCCGAATTTATGTCATCCCCTGCTGAGAGGCTGCAAGGGCTGAGCTCTGTTGGGAGGCAGGAAAAGGAGCTGCTGCAGCCCCCTGTGAGGGAGTGGGGGTGAAACACCAGCCTGGCTGTGCTTCAGTGCAGGGAGGCAAATCCTCTGCTCTTGGACATACCTGGCTCTGAGAACTGGAGCTCAACAACAGCTCTTTTTTCAGCATTTCTCTTAGCTGGGTTAGGAAGTCAGCACATGGAATTTGAGGAATCTCGTTAACTCTTGGGAATCCATTAAGCTCAGCTCCCAAATTCCTTGAATGAGCGTGGCCCACACTCTAAAACCTGTAAAAGCAATTAGAGCTTGTGACACTTAAACCTGAGCCTGCACCCTGAGTTTCCAGCAGAGAGCATGGAAAGAATTCTACAAAGTTACAATTCTGCTTTATCTTAGAATGTTTTAAAAGTTGTGTTTTACCTTAACTCCATACTCCTTATTGTTTTGGTGTTGGGCTCCATCTGCGAACACCCAGGGAGCATTCAACATTCAACCTTTAGTAGTTCAGGCTGTAAAATGATGGTCACATCTTTTCCCAGGATTTTTCACCCACGGAAACAGATGTAACTGAAAGACATACAAAAAGAGCCTAAATTGGTCTTAAAATAAATGTCTACACTTACACAGTGCTTGAACAGCCCGTGGTTGGTTACAGTTTTTTATCCTGTGACTCTTTTGCCTCTAATCCAAGGGAAGGTGAGAGGGCTGCAGGGGGAACTGGGCTCACTGTACATATCCAAGGAAGTGCACCTGACATATCATCAGTTGTTTGTGTAACGCAACAGGGAGCTTATCTAAATTTCAAATAATTAAACAGAAATCCAGTTGGGGCTATTTCTGTGTTTTACAGATCCTGCCCTTGCTGGGAGATAGAACTGGATCCTCTTTCCCTCTCCTTCCACCCAGGCCCACGGGGCATTCCTGTGTGTGCTGCTGCCCCAGGGATCTGCCAGGAACTCCGAGGTGTGGCTGAGGGAAATGAGTTTCAAGGCTTCGCAGCCAGGGACGGTCTAACCCCCCTAATCAGTAGGAAAGGGGTGCTGGCCACCTCTCCTGCTCTTTTTTCTGCTTGGATCCCTGGGAGAAAGTGCCTCTGTGTCCCACAGAATACTTGGATTCCCTGGGGACGGTGGCAGGGCCTGAGGAGAAGAGCTGTGGGACCTCAGTGCTATCCCCTCCTCCCTTGGGACCTGGTGGCTCTTCTGGCCCCTTTGTGGGGATCTCCATCCACTGATCACCCTGTGGATTGTCCCTTCCCCTCTGGGGTCCAGCACAACGGTGATGGGAATGGTGGGTTCTTCACAATAAGTCAGGGAGAACGGACACGTACAACAGCATTTTTACAGTAACAACTGGAATTAGATCACAGGAAATACATTATTGACTACCTTTTCAAATTAAACTGTTGTTATATTTCTGTCCAGACTGCACCAGGGTGGCCGAAAGGCACGGGGAGGTGGCTGGGTCACACCACAAGGCACCTGGGGCAGCAGGGGCAGGATCACCCTGCAGTGTTCTGAGACACGGAGACTCCTGGGGCACAAGCAAAGCTCAAAGCCTGCACTGACCTGCCAAAATGCACACAGGGGCTGCCTGAGCCTATGGAAAGGCAACGGGGAGTCCTGGGGCATCCCAAAAGGCTGCTGCTCAGCAGGGTGTTCCTTGGATGCTGCCTTGGCAGAAAAGTGATGAGACATTGCAGAGAGGTGGGTGATGGGGACTGGGCAGGTGGGATGTGCCGGAGCCAGGACCAGCCAAGGCCTTGGATCAGGAACACAGAGGACAAGGACCGACAGCCCATGTGGAGAGGAAAGCTGGGCAGTCACCAAGGGGCCTCTGTCCCTTCCCCAGCCCAGGAGGCTGAGGTGGGCTCGGCCACTGGGGAGGAAACAAGGATAGACTGAGCCCCAGGGGAACAGAGCCTGCCTGAGGTCTGATTCCTGGGCTAGTGACGGTGTCCCTGCCCATGGCAGGGGGTTGGAACTACGTCATCCTTAAAGGTCCCTTCCGATCCAAACCATCCTGTGATTCCCCAGAGAAAAGAGAAGAAAATATGGGTTGATTTAGAAGAGGAAACAACACATTTCACTGCTTGCCCACACATCCCTGGGGAAGGCAGGACGTTGCAGGGGACATGTCCCTGCGTGCTGGGACATTCCAGCAACAAAGGCTTTATGTGAAACCAGCTCCAGGCTACGTGTAACACCAAATGATTGTTCAAAGACACAGAGATGTGTTACCCTGCCCAGGGATGCTGCAAAGTGTCTCTGAACCAAAGAGAAATCACACTCATGACAACTGTTCAGAGTTCTCCAAAGAAAAACCAGGAAACGAGAGCTGCAGCAGCAGCAGCCAAGCCTCAGCCACAAAAATCAGCCCCCTCCTGCACTGCCTGTGAACAACATTCCTATAATTATTCCCACAGGATTAAGTGGGGCTGCTCTCACAGTCTTGAGTTAAACACACTCAAATACCTGCACAGACCAACATAAAATATTGCTCCTTATTAGTTCCACTGCCAAAGTACTTCCCTGTCAGAGAGGGGCTCTCCTGCCCACCTCAGCCACTGCTCCTGAGCTTCTGCCCCCCCCTCCACGCCACTGGGATGGTCCTTTGCAGGGTGGGAAGCAGAACATGAGCAGAAGGAATCAAGGGCGTTTTTTTTTTCCTTCATCTTCTATTTTCCCCCCCTTTTTAAATAGCTTTGCACTTTCCCCATGCACAAAGGAAGTCATTTTCAGGAAATAAAGGAGCATCAAGAGAGAAGGTTTCGAGCTGCACATACACATAAACAAGTGCCTCGTTAAAAAAGAAAGAAAAAAAACCACTCTTGTGCAAAATAACAAAGTGTTCCACACAAATTCCACATCCTACCCCTCCTTATGAAACTGGCATAGCTGGCAGGAGCTTGGCAAATTAGGTCAAGCTGTACCCAGATGAGGGATTAGAGGAGGAGTTTAGAAATAGCTGAAGACACTGCCTGGGATGGGAACGTGGTCAGGGTTCCTCTGAGGAGCAAAGACAGACATCACCAAAAACACAGCACTGCCCCTCACCAACAGGCTCCGGGGGAGGGTTAAGCACGGGAGTGATAAACCTGCAGGTTTTCACAGTGTAACAGAGCTCTGGGGCAGAGCTTTGCTGGAAACACTGAAACAGGGACAGTGAGGCTGCAAAGCTGCTGTGGTTGCTGCACTGAGGGAGCTGTGCTGGGAGTTAAGGCCAAGTGTCATCAAAGACGCTTTTTCATGTTTGTGAATTATTGGTACAGGAGAAGCAACAGCACAGGGGTTTTAACTGGGGTGAACAGCAGGGAGCTGCAGCAGCACCAACCAGCACAGTCCTGCTCTGAAAGAAAGCAGGGCTCCTCTGGAACGGGAAGGAGCAGGAATAGCAACATAAATAGCAAAGATAATTCAAAACAAAGACACCAGAAAAGTCCTGTTCTTAGCAAGGTCTGCTTTCACTCTCTTATCTTTTCAGTTTTCCTTCAATGACCACAGTTTGTCACTGGGCTGTGGCTGATCACAAAACCCACCACTCCAGGCACTAAAAACCAGCACATCTTCAGACCAGTAACACTGTAACACAAAGAACTGAACTTCCATATTCCTCCAAAGCAATGGATGGGACTAATAAATCCTTGTGGAATTTGGGGAACTCACGGATTTCCAAAACCCCATTAAATCCCAGATACTTAGTGGTAACTAATAAAGGTGAATAATTTTAAACTCTCACAGAGACCCTTTAAAAAACCCATCCTATTTGGTGTTTGGTAATACGGGAGAATGACAGGTTTTCTCAAAATTTGAGAGCAATAGCTTAATAGTGAGAGCTAGTTATATAAAATGTCTTTCCTAAACCCTGGAATTACAGTGAATCAGTCTCTGGCAACATCCCCTTTGGTTCCACTGCTTTATGATGTTCCTCACATCTCCAGAGGTGGCCTTTATCCTGCAAATAATAAAATCCCAAGTACAGAGAAGTAAAAATAACTGAAATTTTAGTGCATAATTTCTGTAAAGGCAAGGGCACAGAACAGCTCGATAAACTTTTATTAACAGATTCATCTTTTGTCTCTGCTGCTAAATCTGGCTCTCAGCTCATGTCAGATTTCTTTCAAGCCATCAAACCAAACCTGCTCTTTTTCTTAAAAAGAAGACAATAGCACTTCTCAGACTTACTGCTGTAAGAGAATTCCAGTAGATGCTGCCCAGAAAATCCATTTGGCTGCCTCAGCCATCCAAGAATATTTTTAATGGGGAAAAGAAGAACATGTTATAAGAACATTCATTTTTTCTAATGTGAAATTCCACCTGGCTGACAAACCTGTCTGGAGAGAGGATTTCTCAGCAGTGGATGGTCTGACTGAGGCACAAGAGTTGACAATCCTAAGATTCATATTCTCTTTCCAGATCTACATCAAAGCCTTCCTGAGTAATTCTGGCAGCCTTTACTACAAGGCCCCCTCTACATAAAACAATATGTAGCTATTTTTAAAATTTCTGTCTATTCTGATACTGCACCTTTAAAAAAAAACTATAGACTCAAGTGTGCACATTACCACAAAAAGTGATTTAATCACCTTTCCTGCTGCTGTCCTTCAAATTAAAGATTTTCTGCTCCCATGAAGGTCAGACACGTTTTACTTCATGAAGACACAGATTCTTTGCCCTTGTTATGCTTTCCTTTCACTGATAATTGGAAATCTGCTTCACCTCTGTTGAAATAATGGCTTGTTATTATTGTTCTGACATCTGTGCTTCTCCTGCCTCAGCTGTTCAGGCAGATTAAGCAAGAGAAAGTTTCTCAGACACACGAAATCGGATGGAGGAGCCAAAACCAAGCAGAGATTTAACTGGGTGTTGCTAAACTTTCGCATTAGAGGAAAACAGAAACTCACCAGTACAAGGTGCAGCTGACACACTTTATGGAGAGAAAGTAAAAACCAAAACAAGTAGGAAAATGAATCTTTTCTTACCTTATACCCTTGCATGCAAAGTTTCTTCCAGCTTTCAGATATATGCTCATATGAAAGTAAGAACTCTGCCAGAAATCTGACAGTTCTTTTGTATCAGTTGCAGGAGGTGAGGGAAGAGTCCAATTTTCTTACAGCCCTGTTCTTTTTAACAATTTTAACAGTATTTGAGACCATAATTTTGTTCTCACCTCCTAAGCAAGCTTGAAATAAAACAAGTATCATTTTGAGGAAAAACTGTAGGAGATCAGGAGGCAGGAGAACAGCACTGACACTGCCAAGAGGATGCCTGATTTTTGCTTGCTCTTGCAAACACGATATCTACTCTTCTTTAAAAAAATCCCAATTCTGTATAATCATAATTCTGTGTCTTCAACAACACCAGCTTTCATCCAAGGCAATGGAAGATGCTTTGGAATTTATTTTGTCAACAAAGCATCAATAAAGGGATTATAGTAAAGTTATAAATCATAGATCTTATTAGGGTTTCTTCTTGATTTCACCTTTAATCCAGGATAACCCAATGATACCCAGTTAATCTTCTCTTCCCTGTGGTTTTTTAAACATCACAGGAAACTACTGCAAACATCTACTGACTAAACTGGTTAAATGATATGCTCCTTCCCAGAAGGATAAAATCAGTGGGAGTCCACCTTTTT